GGTTCTTATCTTATCTACACTGTAGCTTACTCATTTTAGGGGCATTATGGTACTTTCCGTGCAGCTGAACCCATGTAAGGCTTAATTTTGTCGATGAACTGGGAGACTTGTGTCCATTGTGTTCTAAAGTGGTGACTTCACTAATTGGCCCAACTTAGAATGGCTTCAACGTGAAGCCAACAGTTTTAGTCTGATAACCTGTCTCAGTTTGGATTTTTCCATTGTTACACTTCATTTTAGTGCATGGATTTCAGTGGGATAGGATAATGTCATCTCTCAAGCTGGTAACTGCAAACTTATTGGGAAATTCTGATTTCAGCAAAATCAAATTAAAAGGCCCCAAATAGAGCGTAGAACTGCCTTAAGGGGCCGTTTTGAGGCGCTGGGGTTCAGTCTAATTTATTGGTAATTTAAAGGTGGGCTAACAATGGTGGGTTTGAATTTCATCACCTAGAAATGCAGCACTCATTTAGGTATTCTTGCGCATTAAAATCATAGTGTGTGCTGTTTTTTTTCTCAGTTGGTGTGGCTTTGAAACTAAATTAGTATTTAAAGAATTAAAAATTGCCTTATTGTAAATAGCTATTATCCTAAGTCTTGTTAAGGCTTTTACATTGAATCCACTGCCTGCTGTCACCTATGCTTGCAGTCAGATATCATTTATTACACTATCATTAAGAGACTCTGAACAGTTCCATAAAAATGGCCTGTGTTTGACTCAAATGTAGTTATACATTCGAGTAGAAAGTGATAATTGGTAGAAGTGGAAGTTTGTTAAATTTACAGTAATTTACTGTAACAGAACAAACAAGAAGGGATCGACTTTAAGTCGTCTTAAAAAATGATAATAGTCCACATTTAAAACTCAACTTTATAGCTTCTTTTTTTAGACCATAAGTACATAAGCATCAGCATTAGTTTTGCATACAAACCTGATGTTCTGTGATGGATGACACATTTGGAGAATATTGTGGTCCAGGGAGCAAAGCAATAAAGTGTCTCTAAACAGCAAAAGGTACTTCAGGCATTAGTCTGGTAATGCTTTAATAGTGTTTGCAGTGAATGGAGTTCATTTAGGGGACCACTCACATTACACAACCTGCTGGGTTTCTACTCTGTCTGCTACTGTAAGGCAAACCCGTTTTGATCGTTAGCTGTGTATTCATTTTGCATTCAGAGCTAACAGAGTGAAACTTAATCTTAAAATCAGCTGGGTACTACACTAGCCAAAAATGAAACAGTAGAAATTAATCCAATGAGTTTCACACACACAGGCAGAGTCTCAAGCATTCCCTCGTGAATAGCACCAACATGTGTTGACATGTAGGTTCAGATACAGGAGCACATTTTATGAACCATGTACACCCTCTTCTAAATAATTTAGAAGGAAAGCGCAAGGACAATGATGACGTACTCAACAACTGTCTGAATAGAGCTCAAAGGATGCAGGTGTGATTATTCAAGCCAAAGGAATTCTGTAGTATGTGGCTTTTACATGCCTCATTTCTTTTCCTGAGCTTTGTACCTTGGAAGAATTTGAGACTGAAAGTAGATTCTGGAACTGGCACATGCACAAACACATGCAGTGGAGTCAAGTATCCATATGGTTCTTTTCATAGAAGATGTCAGATTTTTGAGAACTTCATTTTAATCTCTGACGGTAGAGAAAGTCACCTTTTTTTCCCTTGCAGAATAACCCGAGTAGAGGTTCACACAAAACGTGCTAAGACAAACTAGATAAATTTTTCCTCGGAGACCTTGGGACCTTTCCTTTATTGTCACCAGAAGGTGTAAGTTTTCATTTACCCGGGGGGCTTTTTTAACAGCTATCAGATGGATAAAAAATTAAAAAAAAGATTTGTCCTGAAGCTGTACAAGAGAACAAGCTGGAAGATCACATGGAAAGAATAACCTTACTCACTAGAATAAGTTTAAGTCTAGTAAAACCACGATTTAAGGAGTGCCTTCAAGTGCTGTTTTTTCAAATAGTTTTACAGTTGCACATTTGCCTTTCTGTGAAACCTTTTAGGACTGGACTATCCCCTAAGCTATAGAAAATCATTGAAGGTTTACATGTTTAAAACAACAATGCATCATCCCCACAAAGCAAGTAGCTTGACTGTAGTGTCTCACTTAAATCCTCCATTATATGTCTGTATTCATCCTATTACAGTAACCTGTTACTTTGTAACTTGTTAAACCAACACTGTCCTTTTGTACAGATTTAACAAGAGGTATGCGAAATTGTAATTGTCTTTACCCTGTGACCAAGAACATACTGTACAGACTTAAAACAGGCTGCGTCTTTGCAGTGGGGCCACGCTCACCATGTTATTAAGACTAATCATCTTGTCTGTTCCTTGCTGTTGGCTGCCCTGTGAACTTTCTTAAGTTGTGGCTAAAATGTGACCCTGTGCTGAGAGTTACGTTGTTTGCCTTTCTCATGAAAGTGGCTTTCTAAACAGCTGACCCAACCGTTCATGCTGAGGCTATAAATGAAGATGGATGTATACAAACAGCCGTGTTCATTAAAGGCTTCGAATATATGAAGTGACTGTAGACTCTTATGATAGTGTCGCCATTCAGATATGCTGCATATATTCATCAGTGTATCCGATCATGTGATTTTAGAGTCATAAAGTATTACTCAACCAAGAGACATGACAGGGTACACTTTGCTCCACAACTAATCGGAACTTACTGTCTTTTACAGCTGCCATGTTGGTATTATGACATCCAAACATCTACTGCCTTAGAACTCCTACTAGTTTAAAATAACTAAGGCCAAAGTTGATTTTGATTCATGTAAAAAAAAAAAAGACAAACATGTATGTTATTTTTTTATGAATAATAAAACATATATTTATTGTTCTTCTTCTTTGCAAACAGCATATTCATTACATAAGACAAAGTAATAAGTTACGAGCACTATTAGCATCACTGTATGATTAACATGATATCCATGACAACACATTGCAGTGACCCCCAAAGAGCCACTGCACTAAAAATGTTTAGCACAATTAATTTACAGACAGCAGCGTACACATATATGTAATGTAGACGTAATTTTGTTGTGCTTTTTGACATCATCCACTACACATAAGACATATAACATATAAGTACCTGAGTTTCATAAAAGTAATTTTAAAAATATGTGTAGATGTTGATATTCCTGGTACCCTATGTAGTTTATATTTAATTAAACTAGGAGCAGTTAAGCTACAGAAATACATATGCCATGGTCATTGTAGTAAGATGGTAATTACTATATGCTACACAGTATTAGGTAGTTTGTTTTATTATTATTATTATTATTATGTTATTATTATTTGCATTATTATTGTTGTTGTTGTTGTTGTTGTCAGGACATGGACAAAAACAATAATCTCACAAATGAAAGGATACCTTATACGAGGTTTTGCTACTAGCTAATTCCCATCTGCTCAGACCCTTTGTCAGGCATACACAGTACACACAGTGTATGTGTGTTGATGAGTATTCCTAACTCCAACCATAACTAAAACTCTAATCATAGACAATCAGAACATATGACGTTTTGTTTGTGTTATTTTCCCAAGTCATAAAACAAAGAATGAAATAACAAGACTATCCCATCAGTATATAAACAATATAATAAATCTGGGTGATAAAAGGTAGGAAAAAATGTAGACCTCGATAATGCTGACGTCAGTTGTTAATTTAAATCCATTCTTTTGCATGATATGAAAAGAAATGGGCTTTAATGAAAAGGGTGGCTGGCCTTGACGCTATTTCCGTTTTGCAGATTGGTTTAATGGTGCATGTGCATCAGTGTTAACTGTTTTAAAAACAAACATCTGAGTACTAGTTTAGGTCCTGGAAAGGTAACATTTTGGTGTTGTCTAAGATATCACAGTGGTGATAGCATTGTGGTTTCCAGTCCAAAACCACATGAGCTTATGGAGTAAGTTCTTTGTTTTACCTTGAGACCAGCAGGCGACACATATGTTGACAGAAGGAAGTATCACATGTATGAAAACACATGCTTGACACTTTGTCACAGAGTGAGTTTTTAATAATTCTGAAAATAGCTACATGTATACAGCATCTCAGTGTGTTACTCATCTTCTTGATGTGCTCTCTAAGGTATTTAACTTCCTCCGTTAAAATTTAAATGTTAACTGATCATGTAAAAGAGTCACACTGGGAGCAGGGAAACATACGCACATGCACAAAAATTTTGCACATGCAGTCCTCTTCCAATCTATATTAGCCTTGCTTTAAATTAGACGCATACAAACTGCATCTGAAGAATTTCAGCAGAGCCCTGTGAAAGGACTTTGTAAAGAAATTAACTGTACAGTTAATCTCGTGCTGTGTGACTCTTGTTTCCATAGGCCTGTTTTTGATAGCTCCCGTTCTGATGGCCCCAATGCACTCCAGTATGTGCACACCACTGAGGACGATCAACGACAGCCTCAGCCACAGACGACGGTACATGGTGAGACACTGATGACATGACTGCAGGCATGTGGTGTGGGGTCAGTGATGCAGGGTTTAGAGGAAAATGGAATTATTCCGACTTCTTCCTAATTTGGGACAAGCTCCAAAAACGTGTTCTTACAGTTCCCATAATGAAACTTGATATCACTGGCATCTTAATACATGTTGGCTCAGAACTTGTATGTGCATGACAAAAATGCTGCAACGTAAATTAGCAAGGTTTTTTAGGTAAACAGATTATTTATTGAGTGACTGACCCACATGGGGACGTAATCATAATTAGAGCATTTATATCTTCCCTGTGTGGGAAAAAACATCGAAAATCGAAAATCGAAATTTCTACCATGTGTCAGGTCAAATGGTAAATTTCTACGAAACATAAAAGAAGTAAGTTGGGTTGCAAAATCTATGTGGTAATTTTTGTTTTGCTTTTTCTTTCCCTTACAGAAACACAACTTCCCCATTGAGTACACCATCAAGGTTCATAATAGGGAAATCTTTAGACTGTCAAATATCAGCAGAATGGTAAAGTCATAAGACAACCTCTGTTTTCTATATAAATCTTTTGACTTTCTTAAATTAAAAGCTGGAGGTCTTCCTATAGAAGGTCTTGCTAATAAAGTCTGCGTGTGAATGGTGAATTGATGAGTTTATCTTTTTCCTCTTTTTCCTTCATCAGAAGTTAAGAACAGAGGAGTTGAATGACCTGGTTCTACAGAGGCTGTGGTTTCAAGTGTATCAAGGTGTTTTAAAAAAGGTAAGAACAGAGCTGTTACTAGTGGAACCTGTTTGTGTTGCTCTGAAATGTGAATGTGTCTTATATCATTTGTTTGTCTAAGAAGAGCTGATGAGAGACTGCTGGGGCCATCGGTCCATTAAGCTAATTAGACATTTAATTGGATGTAGACAAATGCATGACGCACCTCAATTTAGTCTCAATTTACAGTAATGCTGCAGGGATATAAAACCTTTTGCTTTGGAATTATTTATACCCTTGTTTCTTTTATAAAATGTATTCATACCCATAGTCTTTTTGGTAACTTGTTCTTGTACATGTCAGAGGAGGGGCGAGAGGGGCCTTCAAGATAATTTAGCTATCCTAAGTTAACTTTATGGCTGAGCAGGCGGGCTGATGGAAAAATAAACACACAAAAGGAGAACAGATTTTTCTACCCTAAGGTAACTCATAGCACCAAATCATAGCAGTCATGTGGTGACTAGAGACCAAAGAATGCCAATGCAATTTTGATTTGTGGCTTTGGCAGGCAAAATAAGAATTGGCTGCTGAAAATGGGTGGGTACCAGGTTGAGCTGATTCTAACTTTGATGGAAAGCGGTTAAAGAAACTACCAGTGTGAGCAAAGGTTCACATGACTGACATGTGAAGGGGATGCAGAGCCTGGAAAACCTGGTGCCATCCTGTTTGGCTACACAGCAGTGTAGCTTGAGATGTGGACACAGCTTAAAGTCCCGATTACATGTGAATGTTTGCTTGGTGTTTAAAACATACTGTCAGGACAAACCAAAGGAGGCAACTTCAAGGACTTAGTGGTGAACAGAAAATATCAGTAAAATATCTCCACACTAAGTATAAAAGGCTTCATGTCATGCCAAAGAAACGTCAACGAAATAAATAAAATCTGTAAATTTCACGTCATTTTATTCATATTTCAGGACCACAGACAGCTCATAGTCTTATTTTTCAGCATGCTGTTCAGTGAACTGGCACATCAATTGCTGCTTACGCTGAACACAGAAAAACAAGTTACTACACACAGACTGGGCTGTAGAACTTTTTAATTAAGCAAATTCAGCAACCACTAGATGTACAATGCAAACAAGCATCAATTTTGTTTTTGTGGGGCATGTGCAGTATCAGACAGATTTTTGGCTGATCCTCGATTAGATGGGCAGATGATGAAGTTTACATCATGCCGACCCACGGGGACACATTGGAAGCACAAATGAGCTTAAACTTTGCAAGCTAGCTCAGACAGTCCATCTAAGACCTTGACTTCTTATCAAATTCACATGACAAACTCCTTGCACAACATCAGTCCAACACACCCTGTCATTTAAGCCAGAATTTTTGGTTCAGTCACTTGCTGCATGCCTGTACATGCCGCTCAGGTTACCACCCTTGTAACCACCCTTAACATACCCCTTCAGGCTGCTTTGTTACCCACATGACATTCATACAATTATGAAATGTTTGGGAAAATTTGGAAAGATTTTGTGCTTGAGTAACATGAACTAAACCTGTGGGAAAACGCTGTCCACCTCTTGCCTATTGTGTTATAAAACTGAAAGTTCAATACCACCTGTTCCTGTTGAGTGCCTCAATGCTTTTACGTTTGGGGGACCAGTTTCTGCAAGCACTGTCAGAGTGGTAGTGGCTTTGGCTGGTGGATCTGTTTTTGTTTTAGTTAGCACTTTCAATTTTATTTTATTTTATATGTAAAGCATGGACATAATGGGCACCCTTTCAGGTGTGTTGTACTAGTGATTAGTCCTACCTCACTAGCCTTGCTACCTCAGTACTACTGTGTGTTTAAAGGTTTGCCCAGAGCCTTGGGGATTCTAATCTATGAATATAGCACGTCTTTGGACTGCTAGTTCTTTTTGTAAATTTCTTATAAATAACGCTGATAGTGTTCCAGTAATAATAGTTCATAATAAATGGTTACATTTTCCCTTAACACTGTGTAGCATTTAATTATTTTATATTAAACACTTTATGCACTTTGAAAGAATCTTTTGGGAAATACTCAACATTTTTGATTTTGCTAACATTTCCCTGCTGAACAGATCGACACCTTTAATGCTGTATAAACTAAAGTCAAGTTGATTTTTTAGATCCTCTGGGTTTTGCCAACGAGACATCCTTCACGTCCTTACACGGCTGAGTTGGAAAGACGCTTCAAGGATGCTCAGGCAGTCTTTATGCAGTCACATCCTGCTGAGGTAAGTTTCTATACAGCATGCGTACCAGAGCTGCAGTTGGTGTTAGGTATTAATGTTGCCTTGATTGTATTTGTTAATATTTAGAACCTGGGTCTTTTCTATGTTGTAGTGTTTAGTCAAAAGTAAACATTCCAGACCTGTTTATTCAGTTTAGACAGCTTACTAAACATCTGACATTTAGATTCATTTCTATAGCTGTCCTGCTTGTAAGTTTAGTTTAGTTAACATCCCCATTAGCCGCAGCAGAGCAGCAGATATTCTTCCTATTTCCGAGTTTCAGCAGACAGTAGGTGAAGAAATCTGACCAAGTCTGTGAACATAGTTGCATCCTGTTCTTTTTTTCCAGCATTTTCTCTTGTCCTCTTGACTGAGTAAAATAGAACATTTGGTACAGAAGTAGGTTTAAAGGTGACCTGTCATATTTTCCAGTATCATATTTTTGGACCTTACATAACCCCCAAACCAACCACATTTAATTATATTTGGTAGGAAAATGGAAAATAGGTGCACCAACGTATTGAAACATGAGTAAATATACATCAAAATACAGTATATAAGACAAAAACTGGGTTTATATAATTCTAATGAGCTCCAAAGAATTGTTTGGTATGACCACCTTTATTTAAAGCTTATTCATTCAAAGCCTTCTTTGGATTTTGGCTGCCTGTTGTTCTGTTTTCTGGCTTCAATAACATTAAATCCTGGGAGACCAATCCATGGCTAAAAGAGTTTTAGAGTGTGTTTTTCTGTTCAGGTATGCTCTGGCAGTGTGTTTGGGATTATTTTTTGATGCTGAAAAATCAAACCTCTACCAATCAGATGATTTCAAGATGGTATTCCATCAAAAAGTCAAAAAAATCAAAATTAAAATTGGATCAAAATCTCAAAACCAATTTTAACAAGATCTCCATCACCACTGGCTGAAATCCAACCATGGCAGAGCCTCCGATGTACTTTACAGATGACTGTAGACACTCACTGTTGTACCTCTCTGCTGATCTCCTCTGTATGCATTGGTGACGATTTGAACCAATAATGTCACATTTGGATTCATTACTCCAAAAGATCTGGGCTGATTCCAGTCCTTGTGCAATTTGGCATACCTCAGCCTTTCATCGCTGTTTCCCTTCCTTAAAGTGGTTATGTTAGCTATCTAGTGACAGAAACCAAGGACACTAAACCTAAACAACAGTCTAAAGGGGTCACTTTGCACTTTCTTGGTTGTAAAAATGAGTTTTATATTTAAAAAAATAGACGGAAGAAAATATAACAAGGATATATTTTCACTCTCTATCTTTAAAGCAGTCAGTGGTTCTTCATTGTTTGCCTGCTCCACTGAAATGGGAAAATCCACCTGTTAGGTTGTAGAGAACTGTGTGGAGGAGAGCCTGTTTGAGTCAGGTGCACTGGTGGTTCACTCGACCAACAAGTTGAAGTCTGACATTACCCTTTTTTCCTTCTCGTGTTCGGTGTACGGACAAAGTGGTGCAATCAGCCTGCATGCCGACAAGATGCGATCAGCGCTGTTTTATGTGATCTTAAGCTGTTATTTAACCTCCAGTTTTATCAGGATTAAGTCTTTCTTTTCACAAATTCCCAACCAGCTTAAAACATCACAGGTTACTCTATTACAAACATTTTCTGAAGCATGATCAGAAATCTTAACATCTCTCTGGAGGTCAGAAGGGAAGAAAATCTCCACGTTACAGTTGGGCTTTTCCCCCC